AAGATAACATGTCATGATCAGCACAGCAATTAAATGACATGGAGTTTCCTAAACGTTGTATCTTCTGGATAAAAAAAAATTACTGTTCTCGACATTTCAGGTTTATCGAAAAGAAACAAAGATGCCTTGTCCAAAGAGCTTCACGAAGTGGTCCAAGCGTTTAAAGATTCGTTCTTAGCTAAATTTGCCACCATGAAGAGAAAACACAAAAAACAACTGAAATACCTGAGCAAGATACGGGGCGGAGTTATTGAAACCCATCTGTAAACAGACGGCTGAAAAAACGGAGACCCACTGTCGAAAACATTTGAATTTATGACACTTGCTACACGATAATTTCGTGTCCAGGTGACGCACGTTTTAACTGTAGACTTTAAATGTGTAAGAATCTGATTACAAGAGAAGCTGTATCACATCTCTAACAGCGTGAAAAAAAATAACGTTATGTTGCCCAGCAGCGTCTTGGATAAATGATTTAACTATTGTTGTTTCGTAACGCTTTTGACAATTAGCTGCCGGGTCATCGCTTTTCGACGGAGATATTTTCCAATATTGGAAGATTTCTGTAACAAAAAAAACTGTAGTTTGAAGTACAATTCGAAATACAGGCAACGAATTGTCTTCATAATCTTCGTAGCATTTCCAGTTTGAGCGTTTGGGCATCTTTTAAATTTAGTGGTGATATATTGCTGTGTCATGAGTGCTTTCATCTGCTAATGTATGCACCAATAAGGGGCGGTAGTTACACGACGTCAGCAAACTTATTATGATGAAACATTCTCCTCTGTAAAGTCGAGGTGGTTTAGTTTATGTGTTGAAAAGAAGGCTTTGACGTGTAACTCATCATCTTCACATGTTGTTCTCTGAAATGGGCTAAATCGTGTTTGTTTTTCTACTAAGGGGAATACTTTAAAAATCGTGTTTGTTTTTCTACTAAGGGGAATACTTTAAAAATATTTATTTACTTCATTTGCAGTTTCTGCTCCACATTGATTCATTTATTCATGTATTAATTTATCCTCGTCAAAAGTATGCAGCCTAAGGTTATATTGATAGAAAAAGTATTCCTTGGCTAAACTGAAATGCCTATCCCTTACATACACTGACGTCTTTTTAGCTTAGTTGGCTTCTCGATTTCATCGTTATGATGTACGTCAGCAAAGGTGTGTATCAGCAGACGAAAATTTACCAAAATTCCAACCTAATATTGGCCTAAGATTCAACGTAGCAATTGCAAGTTGCAATATCTATATGACTAGAGCCAAACAAAGAAACAAGTTTTCATTTGTAAACGGCCTACGGCAATATGAGAACTAGAATTTTCATTTTTTCAAAGTAAAACTTTATTTGCGATGTAAGGTATGGCTTTGTCATTTTGTGTTTAACCGTTCCGTCGCAACATTTATTAATGGCTACCCATTTTCGAACTATCATGATTATGCAGAACTCAAAACGTTTTCACTCCTCTTGTTTTTAACATGAATAATTTAGAATCTCAAACAGCCTTTTGTTCTAGAACTATTTCTATTGGTGTTTCTTGTTTGGAAATTTCATAGCACCTGCATTACAAATTACAAGGGGGAATTTAAATTGACTCTTTAAAGTGACTCGTGTGTAATTAGCGATATGAAACATTGCGCGTTTTTTCCCTCGATTATATTCCTCAGAAAATGTAAAGTTCCTTTTCAAAAGTTCACCTTTGATGGCTGCGTAATCTAGTCCAACATGTTCTACAAATTATGGGTCTTAAATTTAACTTTTATCATAGTCACTTTGCAGGTAAGATTTTACATTATTGCGTGCCAAGACTACGGTCGATTCTGACATTAACTAACTGCCCCTCTTCTACAAAAAGAATTTCAATGTGAAATTCTGTAAATGGTGACTTTTCAAGTATCGTACAGTTTCCTTGCTTTACTCTGCCATAACGGTGTCATTGTAGATATTATTCTGTATTTAACTAATTGCTTGGGGAAAAAATCGTCTCGAACTTGCATGACTGTATCAGTTGAAACATCACCGACTTAAGCATGGGTTGACATTCCGTTTGTTCGCGTCTCAATTTCCTTTATTTTCTTCTTTTAGCTGTGTAAAATTATTACAACAAACTTTAGGTTTTGGTACGGGATTCGTATATTTTTCCCGTTTCACCGCGGGAAAACGTTTACAAAGAAAAATCTGGAATGGGATAATAAACCAGCTTCTAATGTAATACCTGCAGGGATTAAAGGTTTAGTTAAAAAGCCTCAGTGCATTCATATCTACAGTTTTATGTATTGAAATTTGGCAAAACCCTTGGGCAGCACGAGTCTGTTCTTATCTAACTAGTGTCATAAAAACAACCCAAAACATGTTGTCAACCGACATTTGTCGATTAAAGGGAGGTCATTCTTCGAACTGTTTGAATACAGAATTAAAGAAATATGTATTACATTGTCGGTGGAGATTGTATAAACTCGTGTCATAACAAATACAATCCCGAAACCAAAACATGTTGTCAAACCAAATTTGTTAAAGGGAAGTCATTCTTCAAACCTGTTTACTTACAGTACTAGCGAAACATGTATTGTATTGTCGGTGGAGATTGCACCTAGTTATATTTGCTCACAATTCCCTTTCTTGTTTTAAGTGTAATTCACTGTCAAGGTGATGTCAAAAGGTGTTAAGTACGTCACACACCAACAGCCAATAAATAGGGCAGCTGTTGTATCAGTCAAGAATGATTTTTTATTGATCTCTCAGAGATTGTTTTCCTTGTCATTTCTGAGTGACAGGTTAGCACCCAGAAAGCTTAGAATTAAATAAGTAAGTCCAGTATCCTAACCAGAGTTTAACGAGATTGTCCATAGCTGACTATGAGTAATGTGTTGGCACCTCTAGTACAATCATAAGCAGGTTTTCTTGAATAAGTGCCAATTTAAGCCTTCTGCATGAGTAAGACGGAAAAAACCGGTTGCTGAGAAAATTGTTGGCTTTCTTCACTTTAGGGCTAGAGTTATACTTAAATCATACTATTCGAATTTCTATCTCTCTAGGAATATTATGGTGTAATAAAGTGCGAGGGCCAAATNATCCAGGAACAGCGCCCGTTCCAGAAGGCGCGAGAGTGATAAACACAACATACAACTATGTGGACGTGCGGTGGGATTCCATCCCTAAGAGTAATTTTACCAACGGAACAGTAAAGGGTTATACTGTCGCAGTTATAAAAATTGGCGGTTCTGAATATGACGAGACTTTGCTGATCACTAGTTGTCACTCAGAGGGGATAAATGTCACAAATCTTGAGGAAAACACGAAGTATTGTGTCCAAGTGGCGGCCTTTACTGAATATGGCAAAGGCAATAGTACCCCATGCATGTCAGTGGTTAGTGGAGAGAGAGGTATGTTCTGATGCATGTAATAATATAGCACAGCTAATTTCTAATCAGTCAATTTATGTGAAAGGTGTTTTTTTAAGACGCCTTAACGGAATTTTTTTCCTTTGAATAATCCTCCTTTAAAAACATATGAATACATGTAGCACTAAATGTAAGCCACTTGAAATTGTAAATTAGCCATCGTCAGAGCGAATGACGAAGGTTAACGCTCGAAACGTCAGCTTTTTAACTCTTTACGGTGGGTAATTTACAATGTCAACTTAGTTGATAAAACCAAATTACTTTGTTACCCCACTGAAGCAGCACCACAATTTCCTTAGAAACTTATCCCCTTTATTCATTTTACTTTCAACGCATTGAATAGTTTCACGTCTTGCAGATTTAATAATGCCCTTTCTTTTAAAACTCCACCCGATTTTCGAACAGACCATTCTGAAGGAGGTTTTCGCGAACCAGAGTTCTTCTATTACACTTTAACTTTTCGAAACTTTTCTGTTTTCGATATAAAATTTCTTTCTCTTTCTTTCATTAATAGCCAGAGTAGACTTCACTGCATTCAACGAAAGCTCGACATCTATTCGATTGAAATGGGACAACAATATACCAATCCCAATCGATGACGGTCAGCAAAATGGATTGAAAATAGATTATCGTCTGGCTGATATCACCACAGGACGAAGTCGATTATTCTGTGGCGACGAAAGCACTTATTTGTTCAGCAATTTGACTGTATTCACCAATTACTGTTTTAATGTAGCGGGCTTCCAAAAGGGTGAAATTATCACAAAGATAAATAACAGCCAATGCGTCTACACTGACGAAGAAGGTGGGTCCATGGCTTTATCAGTTTAGTGCAATAATCTTTTTTCTACGTTAAGTGAAGGTTTCAAAAGAAAAGGCAGCAATGTCAAAAGGTTGCGTAGTCCAGGCTATTAGGTTCTGTTGTTCTTTCGTTAGCATTGCATGCAAAATTTTTAACGTGGCTCAACTGCTAATCCAACCACAGCCCTCCTCCTTTATCTGGACATAGGACCGGCGAGGTAAAACCAAGATGTGGGCCTCAACAGACAGCCTTACCCAAAACTGTGTTAAACAGATCATCTTTTTTGATAATATCGTTTGAACAACCAGGCCTGGTTAATTACGGTTTTACCATACGTCTTATATGGCCTAACCCTTTATACTCTTAGATCAGTATCTATTTTCTCCTTATTCTTCTCTTCACATTTCAAAGCCTCTTAGGTCGGTGATCATGTCCTTATTTCTTATTATAACATAACCAAAGTAAAGCGGGCGCTCTGATTGGTCAATTTAGCGTCCCCCATTTGCCCATGGGTGTACGCTGCTGACGTGAGCAAATGCAAAGACTATTTTTACGCGCGCGCTTGTTTTTTTCTGGTCGCGTAAGATTTTTTAAATAAAAGGGAACTCTTTAGCTACAATGTATCAATGTTATGTTATAAAACAAATGGTAAACACCACAGCGTACACTATTGAGTTATGGATGCACTTGGGAGGTTTGCTAAGCACTCAAGAAGCTAGAGTCGCTCTCGGCTATCGCCTCGAGCGACCATTACGCTTCTTTCGTGCTTAGCAACCTCCCGCGTGCATCCATAACTCAATAGTGTACGCTGTGGTGTTTATCATTTGTTAATTATCTTAATAATTGATTCAGCAGTATTAGGAGAAATAAGATGGCGATCACAATTCTCTCCTCTCTACTTTCCAGTCTACTCTGCCTGTATTTGATTATTATGTCTTGTTTAACTTACTAGTAATTTTATTGTATTTAATTTGTATGACAACTGTACGTATCTTTTAGCTTATAGTGTAATAAAATAATGCATAGCTTATAACTACAGTAATATTGTAGTAGTAATGAAATCTCTTCAGCTTACACTGAGTTGCATTTACTTATTTATTACTAATACCCGCCAAGATTAGCTAATGCTATATGTGGGCTGTGTAAAGTGGCTTTTAATATTCCATGAAATAATAATAAAAATAGCAGTAAAACAGCAGTCACCCTGATGGTTTAAAGCGTTATAAATACGAAAATATCAGTAACCTATTCCGCCCTTTGCCCGGAATCTATCATAAGTTATCCTAAGCGTTTTTCAATCATCTTTTAGCGCCTAGCGGACCGCCTCTTGACGTCACAGCCCGAAATGAAAGCTCTACCAGCATCAACGTGACCTGGAAACCAATCAATGAAAGTTTGCAGCACGGAATAATCCTTGGGTATCGTATTGCATACGTGAATGAGGAGTTATCATCTGCTCGGCGTCGAAAGCGACGGAGTGTGCAAACCTTTGACGTAACTGTGTTTGAACAAAACAATCTGACATGGGTTATTGAGAAATTAGAAAAATTCACCAATTATTGCATAGCAGTGGTGGGATTTAATAGTAAGGGCAATGGAAAAAAAAGTGACTTGGTTTGCATTATGACAGATGAGGACGGTAAGATTTGAGGACTTATTTATTACTAAACTTTACAAAAGATTCTGGGATGCACTGAATAAAGGCCAAACCATCTCTTACGGACAACTTTCTCATAAGTTATTGCTTTCACTAAGAGCTTTAAGTTTCTGTCGTAGGAAAACTCTGAGTTCTTAATATTTTTTATTACGCGACTCGGGCAGTCAGAGGGCCAATAACTAAAATCAACCAATCAAAATGCTTTATTGCCGGTCAATATTCTCTCAGTATTGGACCGGGCACTGTCCCGAATGATCCCGAATGATACTGACTGCACTTGTGCCCCTTTGAACTTCAGTCGTATAATAAATCTCTTATTAACCAAGCTTGCTCGGGACCGTACTGGAAGAATATCGGCCCTCGGACTTTTTTGTACGGACCGGGCGTAGCGAGGTCCGTACTGTCAAGACCTCGGGCCGATATTCTCCCAATAAGGTCCTCGCGCTTGGTTAATAAGATATATGTAAAGCAGAACCTACATCATATAATACTTCTCTAACACGTACAATTTGCACTGCCCCTTTGGTTACCGACGATGTTTCTGAGAAAGGTTCAGTTGCATTGTAAAGAGTGTGCTCGCTAACCTTGAGGGGCTTGTACTACTCACTGGATAAGACACAAGTGCAAAGTTACGAATTTTTTATAAAATCACTAGAATTGTGGTAATATCTGGTACCATACATTAAATAAAGTTTTGAATGAGCTGTTTATTTTCAACAGTACCCAGTCTAGCGCCAAATATCTCAGCTGGATACAACACAAGCTCAACAAGTATTGCGATTGAGTGGAATGAAATACCCAGAACATTTATCCACGGATATCTGCTGGGTTACCAAATTTCTTATAGACAGATAAACGGCAAGTTAGACGGTTCCCAAACAGCTGTTATCGTAGATACCCCTCCTCACGCAGGAAATAAAAGCTTTTCAGGTTTATATGTGTACACCAAATACTGTATTCGCCTGGCCGGTAGAACACGAATTGGAACTGGAAAGTGGAGTGAATGTTCGAATATTACAACTGACGAAGAAAGTAAGTACGAGTAAAACGAGACAGAACCATACTTTTCACCTCTCTATCCTCTGTTACATTTCTCTTTTTGTTTATCCTCTTACATTTCATTCATGCTCTCTTTCGCTCACGCATTCATTCGCACCACCCGCGCAATCACAAATTGACGCACTCACACTTTAACAAACTCGTGCACGCATTCAAGCACCGCCAGTACCGGTCAGCGGTATCTGGGTTGAGCATGCGCTTTGAACTGCTTCTCCTCGTGGCGTCGGCCATATTGTTTGTTACTCGTTCGGAGTCTAGTTTTCCTGTTGTGATTAAAGCCTTTCACTATCTGGACGTGCCTTGGTTCATTGTGTTAACTCTCCTACTGGCGCACGCACTCGCTCGCTCATGCTTTCACTCGTTCGCGCTTTCATTCATCCCACTCGCGCAATCACAAATTGACGCACTCACGCTCTGACAAACTCGTGCTCGCATTCATTCACTCTCTCCTTCTATCACTTATTCACTCATTCACGCATTCATTTATTTTTCATTCCTTCCTCACTCACTTTTCCCTTTTTCTCTTCGCCTTTTCCTCCTTTTTCATGTAATAAAATTTTACAATGTCACAAATAAATAACAATTTGAATGCTATTTTCCTTTTCTAGTCCCAACATCTCCCCCACTTGATGTCAAAGCTATTGACGACACCAGCATAAATTCCTTGAATGTGTCGTGGAAGGCACCTGTCGAACTCAACGGCGAGTTAACTGGCTACAAGATTGTGGCAGAGACGACACTTGAAAACGGGACGACCCTAACAGACGAAATTATGACGTGTGACAACCATATCACTCTAACAGACCTTGATATGAATACTGAATACAAGATACGAGTGGCTGCAAGTACACGAAAAGGACTGGGACCCTTCAGTGAAGTAGAACTTGGAGGTAACGCATTAAGTGTTACAATCAAAATTTTGCATAACAACGTTGCTTAACAATTTTACATTGATTAATATCTAATCTTATGCAAACAACGAACAAGAATGCAACGGTAGAGAAACTAAAAATCTTTCGTCTCCCTTATTTCTCAGTGTTTTCGTCATCTTTCTTTAGTTTCTCTTGTCCTTTTTTAACATCAAGTCATCACAAAACATTCATTAACTTTCGACCCCTAAGCCTCAGGTAACCGGAGAGAAACTGTTTTCATTTGATGAACTAAGCACTAAATTTTGATGAAATCTCAATTCAGTCACAAACAACCGATTAAATTTTTAGAATTCTTACATTCAATATGCTTATTCATTCATCAGTATATTAAAATTAATTGTAAAAAAGACTCTATCGTGTATTTTCAGAAACTTGCAATTGTCCCGAAACTTTAGAAGTAGTTGCTCATCCCAGTTCCTTTGACGCAAAAGGAAAATCCACGCTGAGGCAGACAATCGAAGAATTGGTATTGGAAGCCTGCGGCGAATGTCATACACACGAACACAAAACAACAAGGCTTATTTCAGCAGATCGGGAGGATGACGCCGACTTGACGTTTCCAATTGTAAAATTTGTTGAGAGCGCACAGGAAGCAAGTGGAACAAAGTTTGTGGCGGTGCTTCATGTACCAGGCTTGGTTGTTCTTAAAAGGAAAACAGAAAAAGAATTAGGGGCTTACGAAAAGGTCATGGCGAACTGCGTGGTCAATTCCTGGCCCATATACGCAATATTTGGAGTAATGACTCTTGCTGCTGCCCTGCTAATTTGGATATTGGTAGGAAAGTGGATGATTTGTTTTTAAGCTTTTTTTTGTTTTAAGATAGAATCTCATTTGCAAAGTGAAAATCTTATGATCCAGCTACAAGAAGGATATACGGGGGTTGGGTTGCTATGGTAGGTCCCTTGAAATGGACAGCGCATCCTCACTGCGCGTACTTCAGTGCACCTTTGGCGCATGCGGAAACAGTGTCGCCCACAAGAACCCTTGACCATTTTCTCCCAGACTTATCTCTATTTAAAGGCGAGTTTTCCACATAAATGCTTGTAAATGATTATCTCTAATTCCACCGCTCTTCCATTTTACACAAACATTTCAGGATACGCACAGCAATCCGGAAGAATTTCCACCAACAATTGTCAAAGGGACTGGTGAAGGATTATGGTGGGCCTTTATCACTGTAACAACGTTGGGGTAAGCATTTTATGACGATTTGTCTCGCCAGATTGTTGATGAATATAATGATCAATTTTTTTTGCTAGTATTAGGAGCAATTTTCAATTGATTATCCAAAGTAGTCCCTGATTACTTTGGCTTTGTTTTATTTCGCTATGTGATTGGTCTAAACAACTTGCTCCTTCCTCTAAACTATATAGATTACTGTGATTACTTAGATCATACTTTATTACTTATCCTTTTCTAAGCACTGGTCAATAAAATTTTCATATCTGATGATCTGCTTTCACGAAGATTATGGGTCTACATTTTAATAACATATTTCGCGTTATGATTTTATCGATTTGTTAAAACTGCGTGCTTGGTGATGTACTCATCAGATTAGTGAAAGAACGCTTTTTTGATTACTTTTAAGTCACAGCAATGATCGCAGTTCCTGGTGAATATCATTCACGTTTATTACAGCAAGCACAGCATTCTAATAATTTGAATATAAACCAGTGACTTCAAATGTGATTTTTTCCGGCCGCCCATTCACGGTGCGACAAAAAATTGAAGGCGCAATTTTAGCCAGTCAGTCTGTGCAGATATATCATAAAAGTATTGACTGCTAGCGACTTTTTGTTACGTTTGTTTGAGGCGCTAATAGTTGCGTAGTAAGTGTAACCTAAAGAAAAATTCTCTTCCTTTTTACAGGTACGGAGATCGAACACCAAAATCTGATCCAGCTAAACTGTTTGCCATGGTATGGTTCTTAATCGGGATGATTGTGTTTGGCCTTTTCTCCAGTGCTATTACCACTGCTCTGACAGTTGTCGTGGTAACCGGAGGACCCCAAGGAGATGCAAATAAACTCATAAACGTGCGTATAACGCTTAGAAGAGTTAAAGTACCACAAATAAAAGAGGAACAGAGATTTCTTAAGAGGGATGCAAGACACGATCATTCTTTAATCTGTATCAAATATTGTTACACAGAAGCAACTGCACTAAGTTCTAACTCCACTTGTATTAGCTTTTGTGAATGTAGTGGTATGCTAACATCGACAATACACCGGTCCTGAGATTGAATAACCCTGAGGTTGTAAGCATGTTTTCTGATCATTTTCATTCGAACTGCGTTGGTACCGAAAACCAACTTTAATGGGCTGATTAAAAAGAACGTGCACGTAAAATTAGAGGTAGCGTGAGATTTATTCAGGTACGATAAACAAGTGAAAACGAGGGAATTTAAGGTATGTTCTAAGTCAAGAGACGCTCTGACTCAAGAGGATCGGCCTTAAAGTTAAGATTTTCTAAGAGAGAATTTATCAATTATTACTTATCCTTCTCTGAAATAGATTTCCACCATAAAAGATTCCCAAGAACAGCGCATTGCGGTGAGGAAATTGTCTAACAAATTCAATATAGGTAAGAAGCAAAATTTGGGAGCGAAAACTGGCTTCGGTTTACACACTGTTATTGATATTAATGTACGCTTGACTGTTTTTACCCTCGATCTTGGTGCGACTGACCTATTATACTCGTAGTCTATTTGTTTCGTAACGTGAACCCCTTAACACACAAGAGCTGATGGTTAATTCTCCCCTCTAGCTGTTACACATTTTCTTATAGATTAGTTACAAGAACTTAGGTGAAGATCAAGATAATAAATTCAACCTGATAACTTGGAGAATTCTAACTACCTGTTTGCTGGATAATGTATGGATATAGTGTAGGGAGAGGTTACAAGCTAATCAGATCAAGTTGAGTTCATAGCGGCAATGGTTTGAAGTGGAAGAAATGTTATCTGCACCGTTTAACGATTCAAGTTATATGAATAAGTGAGCGCTGCTAATGAGTGCTTGGATTCGAGTGCGGGCCAGATATTGAAGCCTTATTTCTTAGATGCTAGATAATAGAATGAACAGACAAATTAATTTGACGAAAGGCATACTTATCTTTTGAAGGTACTTCGTATGCCAATCTTTCAGAATTGGCGGATGCTCTTAGGACTGGGAAAACTGATGCCATTTTGTTAGATATGTATGTTCACATGAAGAGAAAAGACTTATTTAACCACACCACTACCTGGTACACAGTCACTGAAGTAGTTGATAAGGAACTGACTCATGGTATTGTACTAAGAGGTGCTTCGACAAAACTCGCTAAAGAGCTTGAAGACTTTATACAAGACAGAAACATAGAAAGAAATTTTCTTGACGACAAGAATAACAAAGATGAAAATGAGGAGGAAAATGAAGCGAGTGAGGTGAGGGAAGCGAAAACTACCTTCAGCCTAGTTTAAATGGGAAGATTATTTAGAATAAGTGGGGGTGACTTGGTGGTGGTAAAGCAATCTAGGCACAAAGGCCACGTTCTAAACGGTCACTTCCCGTTTTGTGTGGGCGAGGCACATTTCATCAGACTTGCCCCTTTTCAGTGAAACTTGTCGTGTCTTGAAGGAGTTGTGACGCTCTACTCCGTATGGCATGGAATTAGGAGTCGCTAATTTTTTATTTACTTGATATCATAAGCAAGGGAACTGGCGTGAGCTTCGACAATGTGGGCTTCTTGGCTTGAACAGCTGATGCTAATCCTTACTTCGAAGTCATTTCGTCACCACAAGGGAACTAGTTCAAAAAAGAGATAATGAATGTGATTTGCATAACCGCCGGGTTTTCCTCATTCATGCCTCGATGGATGATTAAGCAGTTTCTTTATTTCGATATAATTCACACAGGAAACTCTGCAAGAGGAGGAGGAATTAGTATTTTTTGAACCAAAAAGCCCGTTCTTTCAAGGAACATTGAAGTATGGAGGTGGAGCTCTGGCAGGTTTAGTTCTATGTGGGATGATCTACGAAATATTTCCATGGCTGAGCGGAAGAAAAATCAAGCATTCAGGTAACTGCATTCATTATGAAAAATAACAATCTTTGTTGTTATGACTTACATGAACCCTTTTATTCCCAAGATCGCAATATTAATCTTTCGAACTAATTCCTCGTAGGAAGGACCTGCCAGCATGAGGACGAAATGAGAGAACTTGTGGAGAACTTTTATCAGGATTTCACTCAGAAATACAAACAACTAAGAAAGAAAAACAAAGACGTAATCAAGTTCTGTAAAAAGCATGGAAAAGGGACCAGTGGGTATGTAAAGAAGGACATCGACAATGCCACTTGGTGGTGATGCTGGTTATTACAGTTTGCATCTGGGATGCAGACAGTCCTATCATAGCGGCGTCAATTATTACATGAGCCAGCTATGATCTTGTTCACTTTGTTAAGTCTTACGGTGAAAAAACGTTGTAACCACAATAGTTTATATGTGTAAGCTGAATTAAACTCTCTTAAAGGAATTTTCAGTTTTCTAGTCACTGAGGATTTCAGTGCTGTTACCTTGCTATACTCCTTCAGAAAAATCGCCCTTCTTTCCAACCAAAAGCGAAAATATGCACTAAAAAACTAAAACTGATATTTCATACTCGCGTTTACCGGCGCCTCAGAAAGTCTGATTGGTTTTTCGTCGACTCCTCGTTGGCTCTTTTTGGTATTTTTCTTTGTTCTAATTGGCCGCTATAATACTCTTAAATTTGGTTTAAGGAAATCCAATCGATACACTTTCTGCAAAATTGATAAATTTCAAAATAAGAGGATTAGAGGACAGAATTAATAAAAGAGGAAACTCAAGGATTTTTGTCGCAGATGATCACCCAAATTGCTATGAATAGTAACTGTTTCAGGAATTGTAAATTCCTCTCAGTCACTCACAAGTAATTAGATCAAAGAGAATCAATGTGTTAGAGAGGTGACATTGGGCTTCAAAGTAACTTTGGTACAGGTTATCTCTCAGAGTATGAATCCGTCTTGCTGTTGGAATGAAAGTTTTTGGGTCGCCCAGTACTTCTTAGATAATTAAGAAATATAAAATCTGCTAACCTTAGAAGATTATAGGGCACCCTTTCTACATTCGTTTACGACAAAAATAAACAAAGTTATTTAGTAAAAATGATCTCTACTCGCATAAACGTTTAGTTATTATTTAAAAAAATCCCCACAAATGAAACAGATGACCAATAAAACCTGCGCACTCCTATTACAATAAAAACTTCTGCGAGTACGCTTTACGGTCCTATAGTTTTTGACATCGATCGGAGACAGTGACAGAAGAGGTATTGCAGCTATGAAAACTCTACCTCTGTTGTCCCTGAACTCCTGTGGTTGCATAATTGTAATGACATCTGCTTATTAAGTTACTTAAAGAAGATTAGGATTTTTGCAGCGCCATCTATAAATAGCTGAGGTGGTTTACACGGATTAGTAAAATTGACGTTTAAGGGAAACAGCAAAGGTTCCCAAAGGATGGCCTCAGTGGGTAAGATACTAATTTTTTAACGCATAAACGTGTAATATAACATTGGTAAAAAAAAAGAAATATAGATGTAATTTGTGATTCGAACGCACGGGAATACGAAATAGAAACATTTCCTCTGACCTGTGATGCGAAAAACAGGAATTCAATAGAAATATGTGCTCTGCGTTATAAGGTAATTCGTCGGCGTCGATTTGGATCTATGCTATAGAAATATTTACTTTCTTTATTTTGCTTTAGTTTGAACATCGGGACTTATTTACCGGGTTCTTTCCCTCTGAAACCCAATCACAGCCGAAGACAAACTTAATATTTTCTACATGGCCTTGTTTCCTCTTCGTAAGACCAATTCTCACTCGAGACTAGATTAAGGATTATTCTTTTCCCTTGCCAGGTATATCTCACACCTAAGAAAAGTGATGGGAAATCAGGCCGAAATAGTGCTGTTATCTATAAAGGTTATTTGATGATTCTCATAACTTAGTTCCCTGTTGACATTTCAAAAAAAAAAAAAAAACGCTGCTCTTGAATCGCTTAGAAGAGATACCGGTTAGAGTCATCGTGAATCACTCGGAGAATGATAGAGGCACGTACGTGTGTATGCTTTGCTTTGTACTGGAGCAAAGTCACCGAACTTAACAATAAGAAAGAAATAAACAGTGAATTTATGTTGAATAACTTCCATTTGGGGAAAAAACTGCTATGCCGTATCATTTATTTCTTTTGAATAATGATAGGCACTCAATTTAAGTTATTCATTCGTTCGTATTATGAAGGATGGTTAGAAGTTCTAAAATTTTCTGGACGGGCGAAGCCCTGATGCAGAGAGCAATTATGATGAAGAACTAAGTACTAGCTTAGTTTCATTGAATCGTTCAAATCAACACGCTTCATAAGGTCTTGTGCATCACGGAACACAACATAGAAATTCTAGAAGAGTCTGATAAGCGTACGCTAACTGGAATTTTCTCGCATACTCGAAATGACTAAAAAATCATCAAAATTTTGTTAAGTCTTTGCAGTCGATAACATCGTTCCGAGATTTTGCCCAATTAAGGGCCCAGGCCTACTAGAACTGAAGGGTTTTTTTATTAATAACACAAGGTTAACTGAATTGTGTAACTAATCTCCATGCTGATGTAGGACCACAGTAAGTGTTAAATATTTAGACATTGCCTAGATGATGTACAAGGATATGCATCCAATGTACTGTGCAATAAGAAATGATATTCAATTGAAATACCGAGTCGTTGGCGTAACGTCCGGCCCTGGAAATACTTTGCATCTTTAGGGAACGGATAGCAAGCCACATTTAATTGCATTTAGATCTCAGTCACCGCAAAGTCTCCGGCTATGGAATCGGCATGCATCACTTTACTAATTTTTACTGCGTTAGTCTAATCATGATATCAAATATTGAAAATCGTTAGCCCAAGCTTGTCTTGAAAGTTTTCATTGATAGACATGGGTAAAAATCATCTTAATCCCGGGTTATTTGAAGGTAAAGCTATCATCTTGGTGGGTAAACAATTAAAATTATGAAGGCAGACATCAAACACGCCTTCGCTGACAAGACGTTGTTAGTGCCCCTCTTCAAGACACGACAAAAATCCAACCAGCTAATTGATTTCGGACATCGTGCCAGTCAGTTTCCTCAAAGATACTTAACACATAACCAAAGGTCAGCAATGGAGGTTTTTGTTAGATTTTCTTTGCCATTTGTCAAGAATTTTTTGCGGTTAGTAATTTGCGTTCTTGAAAAAAGAAAAAGGAAAAACAAATTGGAGAAAACGCTGTTTAACGTGTTGTTCAAAAATAATATATATTTCCAAAAGAGGATTATGACAGTAATCCTTAAAGGATAAGTCCAGAGACGCATTGGTGAAGTGGTGCGTGTCTAGACTGCGGGCCGAATTTATTCCGAATACTCCATTTCTCTTGGTACAGAGGACTACCAAGACGGTGTTTCACGCCCCACGAGGCAGTTTTATCCCTTGTGAATATGAAATTTCTATCTCAAGCTCCTTAGTATCATCTAAAATGGCTCATTTACGTCATGCATATAAAATGATGATTTTCCGTATGAACATAACATTTATCCGATCATTCGATTCAGGGTCGGCTCGGCGGGTGCCTATCATCGAATTCTACTGAGCCCTTATTGATCAAAAACAGAATAAGTTGTGATACCAGGCAGTCTTATTCAAGAAGCAAAAACTCCATAATAAGACAACTGTTTAAGCCAAAAAACAGGATGATACGTAACGAAGATGGACTGGCCACGTTCAACGTCACTTTCTGCACTCGACTAACAATGAATAAATAGAAAGATTTCATCCTGCAAAATCAAAAACGCTCTTTTAAATCTAAGCTACTATCCATCTCGAGGTAAGCAACGCCAGGGTCAAAAAATGCGGAGCCTTTGTGGTAGTACTCTGGTTAAAGTAGAGCTTGTGCCTCGAGGACCCTTCAGTATTGTTGGTGCTGTTGTTATTAATTTCTTTTTTGCGGGTTTGATGACGATGGCGTTACTTGAGGGATGGCATCTTGTTGCCAGATGACATGACCACTTGGCGTTCAGTGCCCTGCTCAGTCTTTGGTTACAAGACTAGAAATTTCTCAGACGCTAATTCAAAATACCTTGTGTTTCAAGCCCTTGACATGGGGAAAAATTAGTATACAGGGCTTTACGATCTTAACTACAAACAAAATAAACTTAGTCATGGTGTCGGTTTGAATCAGTTCAAGTTTACTAGCCAATAACGACTTATGAACCAATTCTTGTTTTATTAGTCTCCTGTTCGTTATTATAAGTAATTACATTATGTCTTGTGAAGTATACATGAACTTGTTAGGTCACGGATTGATTATCTAGAAAAATTGTTTCTAAATTGTTTTATGCTGTGTTAATTATCTACATCCTTGACCTGCCTTGTTCCGTTTTGGGTATATACAAGGTATTTTGTCAGAGCTTGACAGGGCTCCTTAACTTGGCTGCAGGTACGTACAAGTAAAATATGCCAGCTTGACAAAGTTGACTGAGATTATGGTAGAATCTTCAAAGTGGCGTAATTTAAGGATTTGGGCCCGGTCGTGTGGATTAGTGTGGATAGCACTATCTACTGGATAAATCTCTGTCCATACGGTACAGTACGTCCTTTACGCATCTTGTACGCAAACCGCTGGAAAACTATTTATCCTTTGGCTAACGTTTATCACCTTTTCCGAATATCGAGACCCTGAAGGAATAGTTTTAAATCGAGCAATGACTGGAGAGGCTACGATCTGTGAATTGACGTCAAATGTTCAGGATATCGTGTTGAAATTCGTAGTTACTGTCATTCAAAAAAAAAAAAAGAATTGAGATAAAAGCAACATAATGATATTCAATATGTCAAGTAAAACACGCGTGGAGTGGGCATTTCTAAAGCTTGGGGTCAATAGGGCGAGCAGAACGAAAATCCACATTGTTTGTTCATTAAACGCCGGATGCTCTTTTTTTTTTTCCCTTTAGCGGAAATTGGTTTACGAGCTGCTGTGCTCCAGCTGTAGAGGAAAAGCAGAGGTGAGTATATTTCCAAAGGAAAACCTTAATTAAAAACAACCAAAGAAGTGAAAATCTCGTGAAGATAATTCATACCGTAACTAGAAGCCGCAATGATGCTTTTAATTAAAATGTCAGCAAAGTAATGACTTAACGACTCAATGTCGCGTCTTCACCCAAGCATTCGACATCACTTTAGAACCTGGCATGGAGGGTAAACTGCATGTTTTTCTTTGTGCATTTCGGAACACTTATAGCAACCTTAATCTATTTTGACATAATGCTGAAAGATGCCTTTGTTTGACGTTTCCCAGCTTTGTTAGCTGATTGCTTATCTGAGTGCGAAGGAGACTAAACTAATATTTTCGTCGACAGTGAATTTTAACTAAGGACGTGATCCAAGGGAGTGCAATTAAACAATGAAGTTTGCTTGCTGTATGCTGCTGTTAACGATTGTGCAGATCAAAGGAACGGCAGGTGAGCAGATTCCTAGTAATCACTGTTTCATGTTGTAGTTTATAGTAATTATAATCATACCTCTGCAACTTCGTAAGTTAGGTGCCTCTTTCGCTGTTTCAAAGTTTGGTTATTCAATTATTGTGATATGGCAACGTTTCCAGGTCCTTAAGTGCTTCTCTTAAAGGTTAATTATGGCCTCTATCGGTAACAAACACAAATAAATAACGTTTCGCTCGTATCATTCCCTGATATTTTCCTTTCCTCGCATATGTCGTATTACGATCAGTGCTATTCGTTCGGGCGGATTATGCGGTGCGAAAGTCAGTAGAATTAACATAAAGATAGATGGGATTAGACAGTCAACGCTTAAGGACAGATTTTGGTAACTTTGCTAAGTTGGTAAAAAAAGATTTTTTTCAATCAATTATCGTAAGGATATAACCAGGGACAAACCGTGTTGGCATTACACCTTTGATCTTTTCGCTTTCTTGTGAACACGTAGTCTCCTACTACAAATTTTCACGATAAGCAATGGAATTATTAAATCTTCTGCTCATACCTAAACCATCAAATGTACTGGTATAATGAAGACTTAGTTTACGAGGCATATGTGTTAATAAAGTCATTTCAAAACGGGCTCAAGGTTTCACATGAATAACAATTATTCGACACTGATTTCGCCGTGTCTTGCGTACATATCATCAATTTGGCTTGTTTCCCATCATATGCATTTTAGGTAAGACATACCATCAGATGATAACATAATCACATCACAATCCATGTAGAATGAAACAAAGAAACACGACCTGGCTGTTTGTAACGTTTGACGGAAATTGGAAAGTTTCCTTTCCGGCAAGTCAGAATATTTATATATTTATTTAAGCTTAAATGCCATCTAAAAATCTCAACCTCGAAGTGAAAAAATGGAATTCTTGGCCACGGAACGAATAGTCCCGACTAAGAAAAATTTCGTATCCAAAACTGCTTTGAAGAAGAATGTTTCTTAAGCGGATCAGTGAATTTAATTACTCTTCTTTGTCTCAAATTCTGTTTATGTTAGTCTAATGTTGTTTTTGTTTTCGGAGCATCTATGACATCACAAGCTAATTTATTCACGTAAACGTTTACTGTATATATAAACTGACAAATGATAAGATATGTTTGTTTTTTCAACAGTGAGATCCGGCAGTGATTCGCCTTAGTTAGTCTGGAGAAGCCGAGGATGATTTACGTTATTTATTTATCTCTCTAGTGCCTCTTGAGTTAAATTAAAATTCAACATGTTTAAAGGGGCTAGATTTTTAAAGCGACTCACAAAGAGGATCTTAATAGCATTATTTTATTATTTCAGATAATCTTCGTCTGATTAATTCTGCTGCTCATTATTGGCCCTTAAATCGTCTTAACCGCCTAACTGATTTAAAAACCAACCTTACAGGAGTCAAACATGGCAAAATCGAGAACATTCTTTATAAAGGGCCTGGGAACGGATTTTTGTATACGAATGGAAGAGCCTGGGTTGATCTTGGAAACTTCACAGGGTCCTGCATTGCGGAACCTTCAAGATGTAGGGAAGCATTGACAGTTTTTCTATGGTTGAAATATTTCCCAAATAGGAACAAGAGATACTTTGTGGGGACTTCGAGTCACCTGACATACTCAGAAGGTTTTACAATATATAAGCAATCTGATGACATAGCGAACAACACCATTGTTCTAAGAGTTAACGATGGGCAAAGAGAATGGAGTGGGTCCTTAACCCTTATACCGAAAGTATGGTCACACGTGATGTTCACATGGGAGCCAAAATCGGGGCTGGCGATATTTCAGAACTGCAACCAGATGGCTCTGGCCTCACGAAGTAAAGTTAAAACGTCGACGAGAAACAACCAATCAAATGTCTTAGAACACCATTTGAGTTTGTCTGGGACACAATTAAGCCATTCTGGTGTTGGTGCTAGAGCTGTGTACGAAGATCTAACAGTGCTTTATCGAAAGATGGAGTCTCATGAGAGAAACTGGATTTGCCGTGATAAGTTAGGTTGGTATGGCTAATAGGAACGCAAATGAACTGAAAAAGGAGGGTTTACCATGAATGTTGACCCCGAATAAATAGCGAGTCAAAAATGCGTTTTACGTAGGCTTTTAAAATGACTTTGCAATAGTTGACGCAAGAGATGCCTGACAAAGACAAATCTATAATTGTTTTTGTTCTAACCGTTTGTTGGTAATCATAACCTTTGCCGAGTTGTGGTTCGCGCTGTGTATTTTTTTAAATTTCTTAGTTTTTTCCCCCTTCTTTATTCACTATTATTCTTTATTATTTTGCAAGAGAATTCGTAATTTTGCTTAGTCCTACTAACCCTTGGGTTTTGTTTTTCCTAACAGAAGCACCAAAATTAAACTCCACCTGTGAAGGTTCCACGAGATGGCTGTCAATCAGATGGACTCCTCCCCTTATGACGTATGACATACTCAGTGGGTACAATGTATGGTGGTGGAACACCTTCTTAAACTGGACAAAATTTATCTCAAGGACCGAGAAACTGACACTGAATTTCACTGATCTTGGTACGTCCCATTGTCATATATAATTAGGTAGAGGCGCTCCTCTAAGTTGCTCTGAAGTTGCTCTGTTTTCAAACATTTAGAAATTGCTAATGGACTCGATTTTTCTGAAATTACCTTTTATTTTCAAAAGGAACTATTTCAATCTATCATAATCACGTACTTGCCAGAGTAACTACTTTACTCCACGCAAACTCGAAAGCTACAATTTTGACTCATTCTGACATTAAAAATTATTTTTCATAAATAACGGACGACTAGAAATCAGAGTGTTTGTGGGCTTTCCAACCCTCCTGTATAAATTATTCTTTATATAAAAATGAGCTCGCTGACTAATATTTCATCCGTATCTAATCTATTTAGGACAACGATGTAATTTTTGCTTTGTTTAGATCCCGGATCACTGTACAAATTTCGCATCCAGAATGCTTTTCGTTTTTCTGTTGGAGCATCAAGCAAGATAGTTGAGTGCTGGACCAAAACTGAAGGTAAGCTGATAAAAGAGAACTACGATCCTTTTCCAAATTTTAGCTTCCCGAGTCTCTAAGCAGCTGCATTAATCTGTGGAATATTTACTCAAGTTTCCTTATCCTTGTATATAGAGTTGTATATATTCATAGTAATTGTTTGTCAGTTTTGTACACGTCGGGACGGTTTTTGAGTTCACGTTACTCTTTCTTGAATCAGTTCTAGGCAATCCTCTCAACCTGACTGTGGAAATGAAATCACACGTTAATGTCCTACTAAAGTGGACAGCACCCTCAGGAAGATATGAGGATATCAAGGGATATAAGGTACATTTTTCGATGAAATGCCCTTATCTGTAACATAAAAATCGTAGTGCCGCAAAAAGTAGCCATTATCTTGATTGTGATTTAATATCATTTTGCTATCAGATTGTTCGGATTAACTTCCCATTATACCATTATTACTCTGAATTTGAACATTTCAGATTAGGTACAACGAGGTAGAATCTAAAAGAGAACCCACAGAAATCAGGGCAGGGCCGTCAACTTCATTTCTCCTAACTGGACTAAGTATGAATACAAAATACAGGGTGCAAGTGCAAAGTTATGGCGATCAACGTTTTCTTGACAGTACTCCAGCAGTAATAACAGTAAAGACAGAATATGATGGTAAGTTTTGTGATCAGGAAATTCCATGCTTAGTAATGAGATTTTCAAGGTGCTAAGTTATGCTCAAGGAAGGTCAATAGTGACGCCTCGATGACTTTGTCGCACTTCCACTACTTTCTCAATGAATTATTGATTCAATGAGGCTTTTCATTTTTGCACCGTTTGGTTTTATGACTAAAAGTTATGCGTTCCTGAAAAAGATTAATTTTGTAATGTCACATAACATGAGGAGAAACTTTTTAAATGTTTGAAATTATAAAGTACAAACAATTTTACTGTTTACCCTAAAGATAAATCGTCAGTTAAGGACAAGCTCTTGCAAATGGCTGGACCTAAAGCCGTTCATGTCACATGGCAAAGACCACGAGATAAATACAAGGTGTTTGCCTACCGAGCATTTGTCAAGTGGGAGGATCTTGAAGGACAAAAGCACGTTCGCGAGGTGTATGATGGGAACGCGACCTCGTGTGTTTACTCCATGATGGATGTTCCACGTAGTCAAATAATATATATCATGGCATACGAGGTACAACGTATTGCTCTCGAGCCTATCCTTGGTAGGTATGCTGACATTAAGCTACCTGAAATTTCTTAGTTTTCGCATTAAGTAGCTGTGAAGCGCATGGCAATCGGGGTACAGGTCTTCCTTTCACGGCAATGTCAGTGATTAGTCTAAGAAAAATAAAAACAACTAAAAAAATCAAAGGATCAGAGAATTCGGGGTACAAACTCCATGAATCTGGAGCAAGTACACGGCAGAAACAGTTACACCTGGATGAAGGGCATTTTTCCGATCAATGAAGTGTACTACTTTGACATGCCATTGCTTTCCCATATGTCAAAAAGCAGAGAGGAGATAACAGTGAAGCAAAGCTTACAAGTGTCTTGAGATTTTTCCCATTAATGATTAGTTGTTTCATCGTGGTTCTGTACATTTAACATTGTACAGTTAGCCACTGCTCGTGTTCAGACTTTTTAGAATATTTCATTAAAGGGTATATGCAGGTTGTGTAAATTTGCTTGTAATGTTCTATAAAATAATAATAAACAAACAAACAAACAAGGGTAACCTCAAAAGAGGAAATTAAGTCAGATTTCCGTTCATTTTCTGTTAATCCATTTTTGTACTTAGATCCACCGATGGACGTTAACATCGTCTCTCGAAGCTGGTCTCACGTGGTGTTAAACTGGAGTTCACCCTTCTACGACAGAACTGTCGACTTTGCTGATTCGTATCGTCTGACCATCTGGTCAAACAAGGACAAGATTTCTATAACAACCAGTAAGACGCATGCTCGTATTAATGGCCTGAAACAGCTGACCAACTATTTGCTAAACGTGCAGGCTTGGAACGAATTGGGTTTTGGACCTTTTCTTCCCAAAGATATGAGCTTCAGAACACCAGGTAGATAAAATATGATGTTAGTAATCTCCCTGTGTGTCCTGTAATCTTCAAATACACTGCTGCGTTAAAATCTGTGAAAATCAACTCCTCTCAGTCATGTAGAGTAGAGTAGAAATCTATATTTATACAGGATAGCCCCTTTAGTGTAGTAAACACTGGTATCAACAATGGTCCTGTTACCCACCCATCCCATACCCCCCATCCCACCCCAGGGGAGGACATCCATCACACAGTAATCTCGTGCGTGGGAAATTTACGTCTCCTGCCCCTAACCCTGCAGGAGACGGGACCTCCATTTATTCGTCCCTATCCGAGAAGGCTAGGATATCTAACCATTTCTTGATGTTATAGAAAGGTAGCATATTCTTCTCAATTATCTTAAGACCCTGAGTGTTGGTCCGGCCGGGGCTTGAACCCTCGACCTCCCGTACAACATTCCAGCGCTCTATCCATTGAGCTAACCGAGAGGCGATTATCTGAGAGGGTTTGAAATGCGCAATTACTGGTCATCGTGTTCGTTTCTAAGGTTACACTTCTCAGTATTTTCAACAGGCACTTAAGTAAGAGGATGTTTGAAGGACAAAATATCTTACTCTTACAGTGAGCCTGTTCAGGAAGAACTGACAATAGGGACCAGCATATCCTTCCGTTGTAACAAAATACTGTAGAAAGAAAACTTGGACTGAGAGATCCGTATTCAAATTAAATCGAGTGGAAAGCAACTCTACCAAGAACACCTTTGTCCTTGAAGTAGACACACGTTTGGATCACGTGATTGCGCTGCGTGTCATGTTCGACTTCTGATGGAGGCGTTCACATTTTTAATTCCTTTCATTGCTATAGACTACGACGAGTGCGTCTACAATACTCACACGTGTCACGTGAAGGCCACGTGCATCAATACTGATGGATCGTACTTATGCGAGTGTCAGCCTGGATACATTGGGACCGGGAGAAATTGTGAAGGTGGGTTGTAAATGTAGCGAGTTTCCGTAGTGTTATAGGAGTGGCGGTTTCTCACTGAGGAGTGGCTGAGAGAGCATGAAAGCGAAAAAGAATGTACTTTGTGTGTTTGTGTTAAAGTGCTTATTAGAAGCCTTTGTGGCGTAACTTAGTCGCTTACAACGCTACAGTATCTGACCCTTAGTCAATAAAATGTCATAGGTAGGATTTTCCGGTAAAGACGTCCTTTAACAGCGTCCTAGCAAGTACATGGAGTTGTCTCACTTTTATCATAAACCTTCAGTTTTCCGGAGCAAAGAGTATTACATGCACCCTTTGTCCGACCTCAGTAACGACGAATTCAGCAGCAAATCAGTGTAGATAAATGTAGAAAATTTACGCAGTAGAATAAACAGAATCGTACTTTATGAAAAGATATGATAGGTCCACATTCTTGCAGCAGTTAACGATTATTTTGAATGATAAATGTATATTGTGTAGAAATTCCAGAAGGGTTAGGCGACGAGTCCTTCTGTCCTCAAGAAAATTACGTCGGCATTGAATGGAGGAGAACAATGGTCGACCGTGAAGACGAAGCGGCTTGCCCCAAAGGGACTGTCGGTAAGTCAACTCTTGTCCTGAGCATGTAACTAAATACGTTTACTTGCTTGCTACTTAACGCGATTGATGTTGGGATTTTCTTTGATAAGTGAGATGACCCAGAAAAGGGATCAATAATGTGTTTCGTTTTCTCCATTCATTTTAAGGCGTGGCCTTGCGGCGCTGTACTGGAACTCCTGCGGTCTGGGAACTACCTGATCTTGGCGATTGTGTTTCAAGGTGGATGTCGGACATTAGTAAACAGGTATGCAAACATGTGTTTGCTTTTTCTGCTTTAACTTTTGCCCGATTTCTGTAACATTTCAGATCGAAGTAATATTTACACTATTTACGTTCAGATTGAAGTGAATTTCTATTCGTCAGTTTTATGCGCGACGTTTTCTCAACAATAATCTCTTTATGCATGTCAGGTCTACATTATTTTTTACTTTCTGTGTAAATGTCTATTTGCAGCTAAACAACCCAAATGTCAGTCTATCTTTGTTAGCCAATCAGCTTTCAAGCTTGACTGACGTCAAGTCTGGTAAACTATTATATGCTGGCGACCTGAAGTTACTGGTCGATGTCATTGGTGTGTTCGCAAAGAGGGGGTTAAGAATTGAGAAGAACGAAACTTCAGAGGCTTCAGAGGAATTTGTTAAGGTTAGCTTTGTTTATTTGTTAATATTACCAAGTTTTTTTCTTCTTTTTGTCTTTGCCAAGTTCCTAACATTTGACAGGCGAAGTCTATATTCATTTGGCAACTTTTACTCCGAGGAAAGGTATTGTTTTTCGTTCCAACAGTACTTTAAATGATATAACCACGAACTGTAAAAAAGGAAAAGAAAACAAAACAAAACAAGATAATTCCTAAGCCGGAGGGCTACAAAAATTAAAAAGGCAAGTTAGAAATAGGAATTTATAACCATAAAGTAATGTTTTTCTTTACTATTATATTAGTGATCAGGAAGCAGTTTTATGAATGTTATTGATATGCTGGTTAAACTACTACAGTTTCAATTTTTTCAGGATGTCGTTGGCACTGCAAGCAACATTTTGCACGACAAAAACCTTTTGTCTTGGCAGTACATGCCAAAGGTAATGTATTAAATTAGATCAAAAGTTTCTCTTACACTTTGACGTTAATTTTCTCTTCGACGAAGTGCTTTAAAAATACCGATGAAATATAATATCTTTTACAACTATCATCAGGATTCCCAAACAGAGAAGGCAAGTTCGCTTATTGATAGTTTAGATGTGGTAGCCTTGGACATGGCCAACGCTTCGCAAAGTAAATCAGCTGAGACGGAAAATATTGGTACGTGGCATTGAATAGTAACCGTTAATACTTGTCCTTGTTAATTTTTCCCTTTCCTATAGTGCCCCTGACAGGCCTTCTTTTCACATCACTAAGACTGCAAACTTAACCTTGTAGGACAAATGAGGCGAAGGAACCTCAGGAAAAGAGGGGGCTTCAATTTGTTACCTAAGTGAAAATTTGTATCACGCTGACGTGAATTCTACTTCGCATTTTCCCTACAGTGATTAGCGTGGAGTCGTTACAGAATGTAAGAACAAAAAAAGTTCTTGTTATGTCACAGCGAACAGAGAAAGGAGACGAATCCTCCAGGAATGTAGTCTCCTTTCCGATATCTTGGCTAAGGGGAGATACCTCATCTGGTAAGGACCTCCGACCTTTTAAATTCTGAGGCTTGATATTCCTCATACTATAGCAGAAGGTATAGTTAAGGCATCAGTACACTGTGCTTTATTCAGCGCTAAGGGTCTAAATGAGTGAGTTACTGTCAGATTTTAATCCATTGCAGGTGAGATATTCTAAGAATACGAACACTAAAACTGCAATCCGCCCATTAAGATCAAAAGTATCTCTTTGTTTGATTGACTGTTACGGGTCAGATCGCAAGTGAGATTTCATAACTACTCATGCATTCACCAGCAGGTAAAATTAAATTTTATTGAGATGTTATGATCTGAAGACCAACCGTTGCTTTTAAAATCAAAAACCAGTTTCTCTTTCACAGGTCCAGAGCCTGATTTTGCCACGCTTGTTTCCTTCAAAACCCTTGGACCTTTGCTGCCACCAAGAGGAAAGCAGAGGTAAACTTGATGCGATATTTATCGTTATAGCGTTGGCTGGTTTAGTTTGTAATTCCTTTTGTGTTGGAGTTTTAAAAATAGTTTTCTTAACGATTAAAATTTAATCACGAGCAATCATGTAAAGAAGTATCGCTTAAGACTTTTATCGAAGAATTGTCTCCATTGATCACAAGAATGATTTTCCATCAGAGGCTAAATAATAATCAGTAATACACACCAGCATCATGCACAGCATGATATAAAGTGAGAAGAGCATTCTGCTAAGGCACCACGCTTGCTCTCATCGCTCGCTGGCTCGAAACTTCGCTTCGTCGATCGTGCCGCAGCGCTAATGCCTGCCTGCTCGTAGGGGCACAGTTATAAACTTACCGAAGTGGATATGTATTCTAATTCAGTGGCTAGCTTCAGCTCAATTTAGCGCAACACTTAATTTTTTAGCAGCGCTTTTCCCAGAGCTAAGGTCAAATTCCGAGGCTTTTAAGTACAATACTTGAAAATTTATGCCTAAAAACTTGCAGTAACGGTTTCAGTATTGATTTTTACCCTGCAATTGTGAATCGTAGGAAACAGAATTACCAGATGACAGATCACGCATCTATAAACTCTGCTGTCTTATCGGTAAATCTTCGTCCACTTGCTAACAAAACGTTCAAGGATCCTGTGGCGATAACGCTGCGTCACTCTGTGGTAGGTTCAACATCATTTGCCATTTCAAAGAAAATGTTTTGTAATAGGCATATTAGTAGAATATGTCTTTTCTTAAAGTGATACTATTAAGCAAAGGTAAGGCGTGGTGAAAGATATGCAACTTTTGCTTGCTCAACATTAAGATACTCAATACAGAACTAACTGCTTTTCCGGCCGTCCCTTTGACGGGTTACAAAGATAATAGTCGCTGGGTTGTTAAGAGTTATGCTAGTCAACAGACTGATACATAATGGACAGGTTTATACGAAATTCCCATCTTAAAACGTGCTTTATTTCTCATTATCATCTTTGTATCTTTTATTTAGGACGGCGGAGGGAAAACGAATGAACCATCATGCGTCTTTTTGGAGACAGACAAGTGAATAACTTAACTTAAACTCTTTTTGTTAACTTTTTTAATCGTGATATTCTATTTATTGAGAGGCTTGTCGAATGTCAGCCTAATTTCATTGCACCTTTGACTTAAAACGTATTTAGGCCATAAGGCCCCACCATAGTTAGCCCCACTTAGATATATAATAAAGATAGATAGATCCAGCCTTGTTTCGCAGGCGCTATTTCTTTCAAAGGTAGCTTTCCCAGCATCTATGTACATCTTCTTTAACATTTGAATGGTTTGTCAAAATCTATATCAACTTTATTTCCAGGTATTCGATCCGTGTTTTTAAAAATGCTTCATATTATTGCCCTCTACAGCCAAAAGAGGTGTTTGGCGGGCGCTGCACTCGAAAGAAAATGATCGTACTCACTTTAACAAACAAAAGAACGGTTGAGGGCGCTACTTCATGATTAATTTTACTTTCATTTTCAAAAGTTTTTCCTTTTTTTTTCTTTAAAGAAACATAAGCTGGTCGGACGCAGGATGTGAAGTAAATTCTACAAATCTGACCCACACCGTATGTCACTGCTATCATCTCACAAGTTTTGCTGTCTTGATGAGCGTCAAAGAAGACGTGTCAACCAGAATATCGGTGAGAAGCCTTCTTGAAATCATAAGATTGTAATGAAAGAAAAATACTAGATTTGAGCTGTTTTAAAAATAATAAATTCCCATATTTCAGTTACTAGGATCTATCTAGTTTCTTCTGTTTTGCAGAAACCTCATCAGCTTGCTTTAACGCTCATCACTTATGTCGGGGCGAGCATATCGGTTGTAGCATTGTGCCTAGCGTTCCTGACGTTCTTCTTCTTCAGGTAACTGTGTTCTCTTTCCAGTATCATTTCATATGATACTACCACTACCACAGTGAAACCTTTTCTTTGGTACACTCAAGAGATACCTTAGAAGTTCAAGGCACGCAAACTATGTTCTAAACAGAAAAGTACTCGCATGACGTTTCTCTCTACTATCTTCATTGAAGGGAAAAAAAAATTCATCATGAGGACTGAAACGTCGGTCCACGTTGAGACAAATGCCCCTGTAAACGTGATTTGTATCTGGTGTCTTCGTTCAAGGGAAACCTCTTTTCAGGGGACATTCTTCTGTCCCCGAGCGTGTCCCGGAGTACAATTTGCACTGTGGTGCACACACACCAATTACACAAGATCGAAGGCAAAAGTGATTTTGTGCAATCTTGAATCTCAGAAATTTCTGATAACTCTGCCGCTAACATTGTTCTAAAACGGTAATACCATTCGCAGGTTTTCCAAATCTGCCCGTACGTTTATTCACAAGAACTTGTCGGTTGCTCTGATCTTGGCGCAGCTTCTGTTTTTGTTTGGTATCAATAAAACTAAGAACGAGGTAAGTCGGTTATAAGAAACATAACTTAAATGTGCATGAGCCAGAAGTAAACATAAGCAAACGTCTTTAAGCGCGGGAGTTTGTGCGTCCTAATCAGTTTTAGTTTAGTCTCTGATGAATTAAGAAACACAGGTTTCCCAGAACTAGTACAAAGTTAGGTGAAGCAAAACTAATACCAGATCCTCATCGACCCTCATTTGAAAATTGCTACAGTTTTATGCGATAGCTAACGGTATATTTCTCATCTATTCCAGTGGGTGTGTAGGGGAATTGCCATGGCTTTACATTATTTCTTCTTGGTGGCTTTTGCTTGGATGGCAATTGAAGGAGTCATGCTCTACCTGATGCTTGTGAAAGTCTTTCACACCAAAACTGCACCAACAAAGAGCAAAAAGATTTTCTTCGTCATCGGATGGGGTTAGAAGAAAGTTTATAGTCTTGTTTTAGCTTTGGAAAGCGTGTTGCTGAGTAAAGAAGTAAAGTAATCTGTGGTCATCTTCCCGTTTCTCTCGTGCAGGTTTACCTGTAGTGATAGTTGTCACTTCTGGAGTCTTGTTTCTTGAGGGATATGGTACTCCCGCTTAGTAAGTAATAACATTGTTATCTGATCATGAAATTGAAAAAATATTGACAAACAGACGAAGTATCAGCTCGAGAAAAAGAGAAAAAGCAATCACACTATTTCAGGAGTCTTTCGTCCATCGCTCCTTTGGCTGTCATAGGAATCCAAATAAAGGACAAGAGACGTATAAATTGAATAACTGATGAATTATCTATAAACATTTTTCATTAATTAATCGAATTATTTTTTTGGTCTTTAGCTGCTGGCTTTCTCTTGAGCGTGGTTTCATCTGGTCGTTCGTTGGACCTGTTTTATTGGTGCTTGCAGTAAGACGATTGAATATTACGTTATTTTCTTTACTTAGTTTTATAAAAAGCGTAAAGGCTTCGACAGGTATGAAATTAGTGTATTTCTATACCTTTGAAGAAGCAAATTAAATTTACTGATTCCAGTGCCATTTATCTCTTAATAATATACATGAAAAAATTTCTCAGTTCTGATTGGCTAAGATGAATGCAGTTTTCAGTTAATCCAGTGCAGAAGAGAGTTAATTCAGTGCAGAAGAGGGTTAATTCAATGCGAAGAAAGAAAAAAACCAGAAATTCTGATTGGTCAGAATGATTGGTCAATGTCAATGTCAAGGTCAATGTCACTTGCAGGGTTTGAATAAATTATTTTTGCACGTGATGCACGCGCTTTTCTTCTTCGTATTTTTTCATGCATATTAATACATAATCACATGATTTTCTCGTGCAATTTGGAATAAGTAATCACTTGTAAATTTTTTCAAAGATCACAAATTGCACTCGCCCTACGGGCTCATGCAATTTTGTTAGTCTTTGAAAAAATTTTCTCGTGCTTATTTATTCCAAATTGCACTCGAAATCATGTGATTGCCTATACAAATTAGCCCTGTACTCTGAATTTCCGCAAAGTCTGTAGAATTTGCACTAAATTGGTAAGAGATGGCGTTGCCAGTCTCATTCCGATTGTACACAGTAAGCTTAGACGATTTAACTCTTCAGTTCACTCCCAAGATCTCATTCGCAACTCTCCTTACTGTCTGCTATACAATTCTTATGATTTTAGTTTGGAGAATTTGGTATTGGATCAACTGATAATCCCCTGATTTTCTTTTTTTCGTTATTCTCATTACTTGTCTGCATGATATTGTATTGATATTGTAAGGAGAAATTCTATTTTGATCACTCATGGGAGTAAAAGGGCTAAAAAACACTTTTAACCTCCGCAGTTCAACTTCGTATGCCTGGGGATTACTTTTCATGTTATGGCAAAGTCGGGGCCATCAAGTAACAGGAAAAGAACAAGCAGAATACGGTGAGAACAAACGCTTTCTGCCGATACAAATGCAATTGTGACAAAGTGACACTATTCGGATTCTCAAGTCTCCAATTGTGTCAATTCCTTTCTGTAACATCAAGAAATGGTTAGATATTCTAGTCTTCTCGGATAGGGACGAATAAATGGAGGTCCCGTCTCCTGCAGGGTTAGGGGTAGGAGACGTTAATTTCCCACGCACGAGTATACTGTGTGATGGATGTCCTCCCCTGGGGTGGGGTGGGTTGGGTGGGTGCTTACAGGGCCGTTCTGAAAACCACTTCTGTGAGAACGCACCCTGTCTAAAGATTATTATCTATCTATCAGTTACCAAAAGTTGTTTTTGTTTTGTCTTTATTTCAGACGTTGGTCAAAAGCGTGCGTGCTCCTGACTTGTATTCTTGGTCTTTCATGGATGTTTGGAGTGTTCTATATCAATCAAGAATCACTTTTTATGGCCTATTTTTTCACAATATTTAACACACTTCAGGTAAAGTACGTGAAATCTTTCGTCCTCTTTCATGGCTGAGTATCGGCACTGAACAAGAGAAGGAGAAGATACACTCATAGTGTCATTGTAAACTATTGTATTTTATTATATTCCCTGTAGGGTTTGTTCATCTTTTTATTTCACTGCGTTGGAGATGAAAAGGTAAGAAATCAGTGAGTTACCCTCACGGTTTTTGCTTCAGTATCAATTTGCGTTTTCGGTCAGTAAGTCAGTGATTCAGGGCAATCGGTTCGTCTACTGAGTTCTACGCTCGTTTCTTTAAAACTGGCAGGTTCGCCGTGAGTATCGTCGAGTGTTGTGTTGTCATGAAGAAGACAAGCGCTACTTGTTAACGAAACCATCAAGTTCTGAATCCGGCAAATCAGACTCTCGCTCCAAATCAAAGAGGGGCTATGTTGACAACTTCAAGGGAAAAAACCAAACAATGAGCGATTCAGCTGACTCACTAGTAAGTAACTAAGGAAACAAACCAAGATTTGATACTATTGCTAAGGAATTCTATATTGGTTTACGGCTTGCATTAAGTAGAAATTCTGCTATCTTCATCTCCCCTCATCTTAACAAACGCAGCGAAATGCGCTGAAGGTAAGGAAGAATTATCTTATGATGGTTTAAGAGGTGGCTTTCTCTGCACTTCATGGGAAAACTGCACTGCTGTAGCGTCTACCACAGTCTTACAGAGTTTCTTTTTTTCTTGCAGGGTACCATAGAGAGCAAAAGGAATACGTTTGTTGTGCATGTCACAGGTAAGGCAGTCTAGTTTACGCATGATTTTTTTAAATTACAACTGAAGTAGTTGGTCGATTGTGAACACTTTTTTGCAGGATTATCAACTGACCCATTAATTGGGGAAGAAAGGAATAGAAGGCCATTGAAGCAGCCTAAACTTAGTTTTCACTCATTTCAAGTCATTGCAAAAGTATTTGATGCCATAGTTAATAGAGCTCTATCAACTATGTTGATACTTGCTATATTTTAAGGAAATTGAAACCGAAATAACATTATTCTTGTATCTATAAGCTATGCCCGAAATGTAACCGAATAAGTACGATACCCACAATCGGTTTTCAAAAACTAACGCAACAGCGAGATAATTTCGAACAATATGAGCTCACTCAAAGAAACCATTTTTCAGATGGGCAAGTGCGCGTGCGTGGAGTTTCAACCGGTGAACACAGTAGGAGTCTTGTAAGAAACCTGCGTTTGAGCGGAGAAAGTGGTTCGAGTTCAGAACAATCGACCAATCATATTCAGGTAAGGAGCAGAACGCTTAGTTAGGGATAAGGTCTGTTAAAGTGATGGAGACTGTACTTTCCTGCCGTTAAAATGGGTCAGGATGTTTTTTTATCACGCTCTCTGATTGGTTCCAAACCAATAAGATGAAAGAAAACCAATCACGATTTGACCACTTGCATTTTCCCGCTCTTAAAACGGGTAAAGAATAATTATGAATTATGTCACGATGTAATAAATGTCTGATGTGTTTGCGAAAGTGACTTTGTATTGAAGCCAAACGACAGTAGTTCATCAAAAGGAGTTTTGTTAGAATTGGTTTCACCCTCTCTTCCGCAGCATCATGACAGCAATAGAAACTCAACGGCGTCAGCAGCTAGAGAGGCGTCAGAAAATACGCGACAAAACCAAAGATAGACAAGAACATTAACAGGACACAACTACTATGCCTTTGTTACATAACAATGTACAGGTTATTTCCCTTGCTCTCAAGACCTGATAAAGCTGCAGTCCTACCTGCTCGAAGTAGGTTCACCGTCAAACATGGTTTTCCAACTCAATAGTAGAAGTATCGAACGACAGGCACGTAGTTGTTTCTAAGAAAAGCAACCAAAATATAACTGACGAAATACTTTGATTGAGAAATTTGTCCAAAAAATTAATTTTTTTTTATGAAAAAATACTAAACAAATGAAAGGCCGTTAAATTTTCTTAAAAGCTTAGTAAAATGGTTTGGCTGTTAAAAAACAAAACAAAACAAAGCAAACAACAGCAAGGGAAGAACAGTTATGGATGCAGTGTAAATGTTAAAACTAGGCTCTTAGGCTGTGTTCACACTGGGTGCTCGAGCACGGTGTCGCAGTACGATTCTTGATGGCTACTAATGTGAACACACCTTTTTTAAAGTACCTACGCCAGAATTCGGGTACCGTGCCCGTGCCTGAGTACAAGGTCAATTGTAATTGCAATTGTACTCGGGCACTGATATATCGGGTACCCAGTGTCTGAACGCAGCACCATTTTGTGCCGGTGCCCAGGCACTAATGCTCGGGCACCAAGTGGACGAGAAGACTTTTGGACGAAGAGACTTCTGGACGAAAAGACCGTAATTCGTGTGAACGCAGCCTTAAACAGTTTAGGTAGGCATTGGCAGCCGTAAAGTGTATAGCTTGTAAAGTATATTCCCTTCTGGTAGTTTTATAGATATTTTATCGCAAGACTAAACAAGCGTGCTTTGTACATCTTACAGTAAATAAAGTGTTTATCAACTTATGCCGCAGTACAATTTTTCTTTAAAAGAGAAGCACAACACCTTCCCTGCAGAAAGGTACCCAAATCGTCCATGCATCGTTCTAACTCACTGTTCAAGTTCCCCTCTCGTGTACAATTTTTTACGAATTGGCATATTATATCTTTTACCTTGAAATTTAAAGTGACAACTATAACGGAAAAGCTTACTTTTTGATTGAAGATTCGTCCTCTGTACTATGTTACGAAAGGCTCGGGTTCTCCATTCGGCGGAGGGTTTGTGTTATACCTCTGAACAAGCTGGTTTGTTAAGTAGAAGGTCGATTGGAAGTTGGTTTCCAGAAACTATTCTTACGTTGCAGAAACAAAAGGCGTTTATATAAAAGGACAAAAAAACTTGAAGGTTTTCTTCAACTTATTTTATTAAACTGGGTATTTAAAGTAATTCTAAACGCCTTTCACTTGTGTTAACTGGTTCATGTCTTTTTATCTAATGCTTGACAAATGTTACTGAGCCAACAGGATTCAAATTTTGCACTGAAAGCTCTGAGTGTTAAACTACAGCTGTGTTTTGTCTAAGTATCTGAGTGTGTAGCCAAATATTTTGTTTAACAAGGGGTGCTACACCAGGGTTAAAATGTAATACAGGGATGTGTAATCACGTTGCATGAAAATTTACACTTCTTATCATACAAGCAACCTTACATGCATATCCCCTCCTCTTTAGCTACAAATATTCCAGTACAATTGTACAGAAAGCTTCTAGAATGAAGATAACTGTTTCCAATTAGTTCAATAGTTTAGGTTGCTTACATAGTTCTTTCCTATACAGGATACATGTTTAACCAAAGCCTATACACCGAATTGAAATATGGCGTCCAATTTGAATTACCATTGTTCTGGACTCACTAGCCTCGTCTTCACGTGGAAAACACAAAAAGGATTTTTACATGTGTGAGAGGCTAGTGGAACAGCCTCTAGAACAATGGCAGTTCAAATTGGATGCCATATTTCTATTCGGTGTATAGTTGATCTGAATATCCTATTGATATGCATAGAAATGCTGCAGTGTCCCTTAAAATCATAGGAGCACATACACAGGAGTGGATCAAAATATACTGTATTATGACTGTACTATTCATGCCACATGAAAAAAAGCAGGCCAGCTTGGGCTAAAAAATTCAACGTTAGACAAAATTCTAATAGACCTCCATATAATTAACAGTGTAAGTTATTTCCACCAACTCAAAAATAGAAATAAAAAAATATGTACAAAACTGCTGCACAGGCGTCTGCATAAAGGATTACATTCTTTGGAATTGATATTTTAGTTTTAGTTTTAAAGCAATGATTTGTTCCTGCTAAAATCTAACATCTCATCTCATCTCATTGGAATGAAGCTATCTATAACAAAATACAGCTGTAGGTTACAAGTGTGAAAGCATGCTTTCTTAAGTTAATCATTCCAGTCAATCTTAAATCTTGTAACTCGTGGCTTTGAATGAAGTATATTTCTTTGAAGCTGAAAGGAAAAAGACAAGTAAGCAAAACATTCAGCACTCAGTCATCCTAAGCAAAAGTAGCAATCTTGTAGAATGCAGAGGTGATTAAAGTGTAGATGACCTAACATCAAACATGCTAGAAGTTTGGGTAAATCTTCTCAACAATTTCTTTTAAAAGATGATAGGAATCTACAACAACTACTATTAACAATAATAAAATCAACTAGTTCCAAAATATTAAAAATAAAATGGAGATTTTTCAATGCAAAGATAACATTAATACATGTTCACACCCATTTGGAAGTGGTTAAGTTTAATTAACCCATTAACGTCCAGTGCGCCCGTATGCGCCCATGGGGAGCCACACCCTTTCTACGCCCTGTGACGTCCTCAATTTTAACTCTGGAGCACGAATTCGAGCATGTACTTGAACGGGTTGAAAATATCTTGCAGACGATACCAGAATGAGCGCAATTGAGTGGAGGAGATTGGAGAAATAGCCAAAAAACCGTGTCACTTTGACTGGAAAATCTGCACGAAGATCGTGTTTCACTACCCACCTACCTTTCCGAGCATGTGCTTTGAAAATAATGAGTAGTTTCTGAAAAATCTCTACACCAAAATGAAGCCTACTCAATTTCCAGCAAGTGAGGAGAAACTTTAGGCAAGGAGAGGGGAAAAAAAGGGCAGGAGAAAGAGAGAAAAGTAGAAGTCGTAAGTGGGGCGTGACTTTTCAACCCAAAAACTATGTCGAAATTTTGCTCTCTGCGCGTGCCCGAGATTTTCAGGCCGCCATTTTGCATTTGGATCGAAAGGCCGTCGAGTGCACGAGCTGTCAAGTGGTTTTTGGTAAGTT